CATAACTATCAAGTCGTCACCCAATCTACATACCAGGAAAAGACCTTCATCACAAGCCACCTCAAACATATTAGCACTTAAGAAAACTTTATCATTACAGAACTAGTTTTTATTTATTGATCACCTCACTCTTATCGATCACCTCACTAACTCACTAAGTCATTATTTAGTTTATTACTAAGTCATCAAACATATTAATATTCATTAAAACTATTTCACTCACAGGTCTAGCCTTTATTTATCGATCACCTCACTAATTAAGTCATCATCTAGTCTATCAATTTGCCTTTACTTCATTTTATATTCCATAGTCAATTACTTTTACTTTATAGTTGTTGATGCTTTGCGAGGTACTTCTCTTGCAGTTGCCGAAGGAAGTGAATTGCATCAATTGTTGATTTCCCTGGAAAAAAACCAAATTGATAATTTCCGATTGTGATGCACGGCGTTAATTTTCTCTCAATGGTTTTCTCGACAATTTTCAGGGAGTGTTCTAACAGACGGATACCCCGATAAGATGAACAGTTTAATGGATCAACTTTGCCTTTGTATAGCGGAACTGTCATGCTATAGTTCCATTCAGTCGGCATTGAGCAATTTCTCCAAACTTCACGGCAAAGTTGTAGTAACGTTTGGATACCTGCAGTACCAGATGCTTAGATAATGTCATTTATGAGTCCAGAGGGCCTTGCTGCCTTTCCATCCTTCATAGCTTTCAGCTTCTGTAAGCTCCAGTGATATCTGGAATCGGAACTTCGATGGGTGGATCATCAAAGTTGACATTGATGGATTTGTTTCATTTAACAGACGGTTGAAGTATTCTCTCCACTGTAGCTTGATCTCATCTTGTTCAAGAACCATCTCATTTTTGTCGTTTTTGATACATGAGGCACCAACTATGTCTTTTTTCGTACGCTTTGCTTATTTTGCTATACGATACAGAGATTTCATTTGTTCACCTTTGCTATTAGTGAGCCACTCTCTTCACAGATCTGTCCGAGCCAGTGCGACTTGACGTCTTGCATAGTTGTTCTTATCACCGAAAATTTTATGGTCATCTAAAGACTTTGATTTTTGCCATTGCTTGTAAGCAGCTTTCTTTTCAGCTATTGCATTTTGTACAGTGTCATTCCACCACCATGTGTCCCGTTCATGCTGACGTTTTGTACCAGTTTTTCCACAAACTGTAGTTGCAGCGTTTATCAAAACGGTTTTGCATGTACTCCAATCTGTACTGGCTTGCGATTGGTGTCTAATTGTATGGCGACAATCTGTTGAAATTTTTCTCGATTAATATTGCTTTTCAGCTTCTCCGAGGCATTTGTTTAGACTTATGTTTTGACAGTTCGACAACCAGCTCTGCCACAAGGAGTCTATTTTGGGCAACACATGATTCGCCAGGTATAACTTTGACATTTTTGAATAGCCTTCGGTGTTGTTGCTTGACAACGAAAAAATCAATTTGCGTGGCTGATGGTCCACTTTTGTATGTTATGAGATGTTCCTGTTTTCAGTAAACAAAACCCGTGACTTTCGGCAAACTCAAGGATGCGGTTGCCATTTTCATTCCGCTCTCCATAGCCAAAACCGCCATGTACGTTGTCAAAATCATCTGTTTTATCTCCAACGTGGCCATTGAGATCGCCTCCAATCAGGATTGTTTCAGATTTTGGTATTGTTGAGATGGTGTCAGAGAACGCAGCCCAGAAGTCATTTTTCATCTCTTCTGATTCGCCTGTCTGTAGTGCGTATGCAGAAAAAATAATCATTGTTTGCTTTTCTAGGCGAAGCTTGATCCACATGAAACGTGAATTAATCCTTTTAATATCCAGTACTTCTTTGGCTAGCGGTTCTCTGACAAAAATTCCAACACCATTTTCGGCCGTCTTTTGACCATTCCAGAATAGTTTATATTTTTCTTTGTCTGAGTTGACATGACAAACACCATTCGATTTCCAGCGGGTCTCCTGAAGGCAGCAGATGTCAATCCTTTTACGCTCGAGCATTTCTACGATTTCCATGCTGCGGCCAGTCAGTGATCCAACATTGAGCGTTCCAAGTCTAAGTACCATAGAAGGGTCATTCTGAATTTTTCTGCAACATCCCTTCGCTATTGCATACTTCTCAGGGATTTTTGGCACCCCTTGACCTGCTGGGGACTAGGAGCCGTTGTTTTTCTTTGTGACGGCATAGGAATAATTTGGGGAAAAGTTTTTACATCCGGACACTCATACTGACGACAACCAGCAGATATAAGCGGTGGGCCTAGCCTTTTGCTCAAAAACACGCAATGCAGTGTGGATGGAGTTTTATGTCAAGCCCAGGACTTGAAGTAGAAGCTAGAAGTATTCCATTTATATAGTTGACATTTTTTATTACCTGATCCGTAGTGCATAACAGTACATTTTTCAATATTGAACCATAGAAGCCTGTCTTGTGTTCACTTAAATGCCTCAGTCAAATTATATTGAAGTTCGACTACAACGTTATCTGACGATATTGCTCTCATGATATTGGTATCATCTGCAAACAGTTTTGTTTTTTTTTTTCAGATTAGTTGGTATGAAGAGTAGAGAACCAATAACAGAGCACGGAGGAACACCACTAAAAATTTCAGTCCAGTCAGAAATAGTTTCACCTTGAACAATTCTTTGTCTTCTGTTTTTAAGAAAAGATTCAATTCATTTATACACCAATTCATTTATTAACAATTTTTTTGTTTATTTTTTGTTATTGATTTCTTATTATTCACAAGTTGTAAAATTTAATTTAAATTAACATTGCAGTGATAGTGAGATGTTCGTTACATGCGTTTAAGGAACTATGCTTGAAAAAATTAAGTTCCGGAGAAAAACCAAAATGTTTTTCTTAATATTACTTACTACGATAAAATTACATTATTTTATTCACACTGTTAGCATTTATTTTCAGTATTAAAGACGAGTGCCTTGCCTACCGCTAGACACAATCTTAAAAAAATATTTTCGGAGTAAAAAACTTTCAAATTCACATAACTTTTCAGTCAGATGAATAAAGGTTAATAGTTTGAAGGTCATAGTAAACGATACATAACAAAGCATGTGACCCGCGGAAATTTTTTCGTCATATTTTTTGTCACTGCAAAAAAGCACCAGACGATCTTAACCATTAGGCCATTACGCCGCCAATTTATGAAAAATAACTGATGAAAAATATCCGGCTCTGACACTGCTAAAAAATAACAGTGGATAAGAAGTTTTAAAATATAAAATAGTCTTGGCATTGGAAAACAATACTTTAATGTTAAATATGATAATACTGCTGGTATAGACAAATTTCACTAAGATTAACAAAGATTTTGACACAAAGTTATTTTGCAATTGCACTAGTGGTCTGTGGATATCATTACAGCTCACCAGAGTACATTCAAAAATTTTATAACAACTTTCAATAACATTGAGATAATAAATGTTTCTTATTATTTACATAAAATATTGTAACAGTCAAAAAATATAACGTACTTGAATATGCATGAAGAATAGAGCAAAAATGGTCAGAAAAAAAATACGGCAGACATGGACCAAAATTTCTTTCTTGGTAACATCATGCAAGGAATATTTGGATTTCAACTCGTAGTCATTTTT